GCTCACTGGAAGGACAGATCCTGAAGCTGAGGCTCCAGTACTTTGGCCATCTCATGAGAAGAGAAGACTCCTTGGAAAAGAGCCTGATGTTGCGAAAGTGTGAAGGCAAGAGGAGAAGGGGACGACAGAGGATGAGATGGCGGGACAGTGTCATCGAAGCACCAATATGAATTTGACACAACTCCGGGAGGCAGTGGAAGATAGGAGGGCCTGGCGTGCTCTGGTCCATGGAGTCACAAAGAGTCGGACACAACTAAATGACTAAACAACAACAACAACAACAACAACAACAACATGCATAAATAGCACCTCATGTCTTTCTAGTATATGACAAAGTAATTTCCTGCCTTCCTAGAATGTTATCTTAAATGTTGTGGGAGCATGAAATGTGTTCTGGAATTAGGATGAATATGTGTACTGAAATACTGGAAAGTCTTTGAAGCCATTGTTTTGATTCTGCCTGTTTTAAAAAAATTGTAATGGTTCTCCTATGTGCATAGCTGTTTAAAAATTTTGTGTGTCTGTGTGTGTGCGCGTGTACATACACATACAAACATGCAGTGTTTGAGTTCTTTAACATTTTATAAGTGCAATTAGAAGCCATAGATATTTGTTCAGGAAGGTATTGTTGAGTGGATTTGACCTAGGTTGAATAAAAATCAATGATTTAAAAAATCATTGAAATCACAATTTAAATCACAATTTAAATTTTTAAAAATCGAATTTGTAAAAATTAAATTGTGATTTCAATCAATTTGATTTAAAAGAAATCCATCCTGATTTAACATGATTTAGGACATAAAATATGTTTTCCTATAATGTCTTGTAAGTGCAAATTGAATTTGATAATACAGTAGTTTATAAAACTGATGATTGTTTGAATTTTCAAAGAAATCCAGCCAGCTCTTATTTTTTTAAGAACAGTTAACTCATTTCATATTTCAATAATTTTAATAAAAGTGAAAGTAACATTAAATAAAAGTGATGCTCTTTTCATTAATGTGGGTTGTTAAAGGGCAGATTAGAATTGTTACATATGGATGACAGTCAATTATGGCTGGCCCGTGATGGCTGATTCCTGCCTTCTACCTTGTGTACAAAAGATTGTATTTTAGTTATACTTATGTGTAAAGCTATCCCATAGATTTTAATACTAATTGCTTTTAATTAGGCACTGCTTCCCATAATCCTAATTTTTTCTGTCTATCAGTTTGTATCTGTTTTGCAAGGTGTAATGATCTTTGCCATATGAATATGAGATTAAGTGTATATAACTGAGTAGGTGTGTTTATCACACACACATATGGGATTCATCCTTTTGGAATCCAAGTCAATGGGTGGCACACCCAGTTTCCCTAGTTCCTATTGAGAAACAGGGCACAAACAGCAGGACAGATAATCAAGTAGTTCCTCTCTAGTGGGCCTGTGTTGGGGATGTGTCTGTGTCTGAATTTCTTTGCTTTGGGGTGGCATAGGTTTAGCATACCTCTTGTTTTAAACCAAAAGTTTTTCTTTTTTGGGAGTTCCCCTGCTTTCTGAAACTTTGGAACATAACTGTTTGGAAAAGAATGTCTGTCTTTATTGAACAACGTACAATAAGAATTTTTTCTAAGACACTGTATACATTACAGTAAATAAAAGCCAGTCAAGAATAACAAGACTGCTGACTCATTGTACAAAACAGAGTAACACATCCCGTCTGGATTTCTAAAGAAGCCATACCCAGTCACAGAGGAGGATAACTTGTTAAGCCCATCTCTGCAAGACACAGGTCTTGCATACTACAAGATTTCATTGATCAAAATCCCCTTCCCCACATGTTGGTGTGCTGTTCACTGTGTTCTACCAGGAAACAAATTCTGTGATGTGATGTGCCTATGGATAATCCTAAATGTAATCCTAATTAGAGATGGGAGTATTCATATACAAATACCCCCACACAGCTGGATGTAACAAGGGTCTAGCACCGACTCACACGTGCGCTGCTGCCGCCGCCATCACCAGCTCTGCTCCCATTCCAATCAGTTCAGAGCTCATGGTTGGCTGTCCGCTCATCAGCCTGGCAAGGAGACTCATCTTCCCTCCTTCTGCCAGGAGTGGATAGTGGACTGCGAGCTCCAGAGCAATTGGAAGGGAGAGTGGAGCTGACGGCAGCACCAGATGCATGAGTGGACCCTCATTATGTCCACCTGTGCAGGGGGATTCATATCCATATATGAATACCCCCATCTCTAATCCTAACCATACCTTTCACCTCATAATTGCTACCATACATCGTTGGCTTGGTTAAAGATACCACTAGAGACCTGAAGCTCTCTCTCTATACAGTGGTGCCTCGCATAACGATTTTAATTGGTTCCAAAAAAACGTTATGTGAAACATCGTTATGCGAAACACCATTTTCCATAGGAATGCATTGGAAACCGGTTAATCCGTTCCAATAGGCACGGATTGCCGTCCTTAAGCGAAAAAACCCATAGGAAACATCGTTAAACGATACAATGTTTCCTCCATTGGAATGTATTGAAGCTGACTCA